AACAAACAATATATATATATATATATATATATATATATATATATATATATATATATATATATATATATATATATATATAATTAAAAAAAGAAGAAGAGGTGACGCAAACGTTTGTGGATTTTGTAATGTGTTTTTTAGAAAAAAATATTATGCTTTATTTTCCGTAATTTTACTACACGTGTTTCTGGTCTCGTGACCGTCTTCAGGTAAAAGCGCAGATTTCCACATATTATTAAAAATAATTAATTTTTTTCCTTATGTTTTTTCAATGTTAAATATTCTCGAGATGAGATATTCTCTGTGTTTTGAGTTAGTAATCCTAGTAGAAAAAATAAAAACAAAAAACACATTACAAAAAAAAAAAAAAAAAAAACAAAAACTTTCTTTTTGGAATATACATACTTTTTCTCTTGGAACCATTACAATACTTTATATATATATATATATATATATATATATATATATATATATATATATATATATACGTGTCTGTGAATGTATATATGTGTGTGTGTGTGTGTGTGTGCGCTAAATTTTAAGGGGAATGCCTTCTTGGTCGATCCAAGAACCTTTAAGTATCTACTCTTGAAAAAAGTAGCCATATGTTTAGTTTTCCCGAGAATCAATGGTAGACATACACACTGTAAACAGGTTGTTTTTGTTTTTTTGGAGAGGGCTCTCCTCTACATAGGAATTCAGTCAGTGTTTCCTTCACCCCAAACAACAGGGCGTTGACTAATTTAATATCTAAGCTGATTCCGTTGTGGTTATCATTGATACACTTTACGAGCGATAGCGTTATCAGCAACAGCTTTTTCAACTACAATCAGAAAGAAGTGATTTCATGTATATTTTTCACATCTGTTCATATCTATCTATCTATCTATATGTTCTTGCTCTGTTTCTGGGTGTTAGAATGCGCCTCGTTTATATCACCTGTAGATGGATTAAGATCCCGACCCTAAAAAAGCGGTCACCGACTCTATTTTCAGACTCTTATAAACCCAAACTTTGTATGTGGTTCTACACATTGATTCTGAGAATGACCAAACCTCTAAGCAAAAACGGCCAAGTTCTAAAATCAATGGCAACAAAAAGGACACTTATACTTAACACCAGAAAGAGACATTTGCATGTCTCTGAGACACATAATGAGAAAGGAGGGGTTCAGTGATGTGATACGCACGGGACATATTGAAGATCAAGGAGACAGAAGAAACCAACACACCACCCCAACCCAACGAATGGATGGCGCGAAGCAGAGTATGTTGGAGATGACAAAAAGAGTAAAAGTTATTTAAGAGCTATAAGGGACAGGAAATTGTGGAGTGTCATTACCGTCAATGTCCAAAATAGACACGGCACATAGAAGAGGAGAATAAACTGAACCAAAAAGATTATGTACAATATCAAATAAGTCAAGAAGGGTTAATTAATCAGCATATATTTGTTTTTTTTTATTAGGATGTCAGACACGAAATGACGCACTAGGAAATGAATAAATGCTTTTGAAATTATTTACATTATTCGGACTATTGTCCTCATCTTTGTCACCATATTTATTACAATTGCCTTAACCGGGTATTTAGGTCCTGTCACTGGATCTAACTACGTCTTTATCCACTGTGGAGAACTTTCAGAGGGAAATTAACACGAGATAACTGATAACTGACATCCATTAAACATGGCACGTGGAACTAAAACAGCCTACCCCAGTGAGCGAAATAAAGTGTTCAGTTCAGTATTCTAACCACCTGAAGAAGGCCGGAGCGTACAACGGCCGAAACGTTGTAATAAATATGGCGACAAAGATGAGGACAATAGTCCGAATGATGTAAATAGTGTACATAATACCTCATCTCAGAAATATAGACAGATGCTTTTGAAATGTTAAATAACGAATTTATTTAGTTGAAATAGGCACCATGTTGATGAATGACGTTTCTCCAACATAACTGTAAATTCTTGATCGCATTTTACAAAAAATTCCCATCGTTTGATGTGACAAACAGTTTAAATTAAAAAGCTTCGATTACTGCTTCCTTATTAGAGACTGTTTTATTGCGTATGATAATCTCAAAATGCTTAAATAAGTGATAATCAGTAGGAGAGATATCAGGTGAATATTGAGGATGAAGTAAAAATTTCATAATTCAATCTATGCAGGTTTTGGACAATTGATTGAGAAATGTGCGGCCGCGCAGCAAAATTGGCCGATCACTATTCACATGTCTAAGATGTTTCTTTTTCAATTTTTTTGTGCATACACTTAATTTCGTTACAATACGAGGTTTCGGTTATTGTTTTCGGTTGAGGCAGGAATGAATAATGAATAACTCCTTTAAAAGACCAACATACAGTAACCATTAACTTTTTAAGGTGCAGTTCAGGTTTTGGGGATTGTTTTGGTAATTCACTTTCATCTAACTACTGGCCTACTTCTCTTAGTGTTGTCAAAGATTATCCATTTCTCATCGCATGTAATGATTCGGTGCAAAAATGGTTCTGTTTCCCCAGTTTGTACTCAGACAGTAAGATCACTGGATATTGTTTTATTGTAAACATTTTCGTTGAGTTTATGAGTAACAATATGATGAATGATAATCTGGAAAGAAAAAGAGCCATGAATTAGTCAAGACTTTTATATACTAAGGAGATTAGGTCATTAAACAACGGGATCAACAACCAACCAAAAGATAAGTCATATATTCTGTGACAAAGTAATATATAATAAATTTGGGAATGTAATCCCGACAGAGTTATAAGTTATGAAATTATTTTCGTAACATACTTTCATGAATGTTTCTCCAAATGTCAATCTATCTATCTATCTATCTATCTATCTATCTATCTATCTATCACGGTCTGTTTTATTTACTTATCTACCTCTGCTCTGACTTAGAATACCCTGATTGCATTCCATGAAGATAGTGTAAGACGATTTAAAATGAAAACAAAAACCATTAGCCCACCTTCTGGTCAGATGCTCAGAGGCTTTGTTATAAACCTGACCTTTGTCGTTTGAAACAGTTTATTGTTTCTATCTATCTATCTATCTATCTATCTATCTATCTATCTATCTATCTATCTATCTTCTGTTCACACATCTTGACTTCACACACTTAATTTCATTCAACCAATCTAATAATTGGTTTAAATCGATCAGAATTAATTCGCCAGCAAGAGCGTCGTGCAAGGTATGCGTTTTATTCCCGTCTCACATGCTATAAATAAGATCAATCAAATTTTGATAACACTGGTCCCTCGGAAGTGATAACTTGTTTCTGTTTAAATCAAAGTGCTCCCTGCAGTCTGCAGTTTGATTTTAAAAATCTCCACGTGAAAAGGCACAAAATACGAAATTCTGTAGGAGCGTATATTAATGTTTTCTCATTCGTCCTTAAGCCGAGATGACTGAACCCCCCTCATTGATGTTATTTCTATGTCTAAATACAAACCAACGATTTGAATATTGATTTTCATGGGTCACTTCACTTAGAACATTGACGCAACACAGTCTTTTCTCTTTTATAATTGCGATAAAAAATCCAAATATAAGAATCAACAATGCAAGTTGACTGACATTAAATGAGGTCCTTGCAAATTTCACGAGTACAAAATACCCATGGAAGTTCCTCTCTTGCATTGTTAAGTATTTTAGTTTAATAACTCCAACAAAATATTGCAATAATCATTATGTATATGCAATTCTAATTCTTCCGTAGTTAGATAGTATGGATCTTAAAGTCTGTAATATTTTTCCTGTCCTTTCCCCCTATGTTGAGCTTGCCTGTTCCATGCACACAAATTCGGGGTATTGCATAGGAGGCAGAGTAAATCTCTGACATTCATTGAAACTTCTAGCAAGCCTCATTCTGTCATGAGTTGTTGAGTAGTATATATATATATATATATATATATATATATATATATATATATAATTATTATTTATAAAAAATTATAACATAAATATGTTATAAAATCACTACAAAAATAGCCATTTTGTTTCAACACACTCTGTGTCTTATCAAGTGATGATGTTGAAAATAAATGGTTTTAAAAGTTTCAGATTAATTAACGATCCTACACTAGGGGGAAACATTGTTACAAAAGCTAGTATAACCAATAATTTCAATGAAGAAATGAATTGAATAAACATATATATTTTTTCTTTTCTCAATCATTTTGTAGTTTTAAACTTAATAGTGATTAAATTTGGATTTTAAAATTGCCAGTTTTTAATTTTAATACTAAATTTTATCATATAATTTTATAATTATTGATTAGTATAAATTATTTTTAATATTACACGTATTTTAAAGATCGGAATAGCTATTATAACATGATTTCGTTGTCAAGCTTTTGAATCTTTCTATACTTGGTTTTTGATTGGTTATTCTAGCTTTTGTAACAATGTTTCCCCCTAGTGTAGGATCGTTAATTAATCTGAAACTTTTAAAACCATTTATTTTCTTTTCAACATCATCACTTGATAAGACACAGAGTGTGTTGAAACAAAATGGCTATTTTTGTAGTGATTTTATAACATACTTATGTTATAATTTTTTATAAAAAAATAATTATATCTGCTCTACTTTGTATTGAGCACTCTTTTAAGAATAGTAATTGTTGGTTATTGGAATTCATTCCGTATATACCAATTATATACTTGGGTATATATATATATATATATATATATATATATATATATATGTGTGTGTGTGTGTGTGTGTGTGTGTGTGTGTGTGTGTGTGTGTGTGTGTGTGTGTGTTTTTCTAGAATGACAGAAAGAAAGAATAAACAGATAGAAAGAAATAAAGAATGAATGAAAGATAGAAAAAAAGGAAATAAAGAAAGAAGGAAGGAAGGAAATAAGAAACATAAAAAGAAAAGACAGACAGAGAGAAAGAAAGAAAGAAAGAAAAGAAAGAAAGAAAGATAGAAAGAAAAGAAAAAGAAAAGAAAAAGGAAAGAAAGAATGAAAGAAGAAAGAAAGAAAATCAGAATGATAGAAAAGAGAGAAGGAAAAAAAGACAGAAAGAAAGAAAAATAGAAAGAAAGAAAGAAAATAAGATAAAATAAAAAATATATATGTTTCTAGAAAGAAAGAGAAAGAAAGGAAGAAAGAAATAAAGAATGAAAGAAAGAAAGAAAGAAAAAAGAAAAGAAAAAAGAAAGAAAAAAGAAAAGAAAGAAGGTAGGAAGAAAAGAAACAATAAATAAAGAAAAACATAATGAAATAAAAGACACATAGAAAGAAAAGACAGACAGACAGAAAGAAAGAAAGAAAGAAAGAAAGAAAGAAAGAAAGAAAGAAAGAAAGAAAAGAAAAAGGAAAGACAGAAGGAAAGAAAAAACAGAATTAAAGAAACGACAGAAAGAAAGAACAAAAAGACAGACAGAAAAAAAGAAAGAAAAGAAAAAAGGAAAGAAAGAAAAGAGAGAAATGAAAAAAGAAGTGAATAAGTGAAAGCCAAAAAGAGTTTGAAAAAGAAAGGAAAATAGTGAGACGGGGAAGGAAAAAGAATCTAAAAGAAAAGGATCTAGAAAGGAAAAAATGAAGAAAAGAAAGAAAGAATGAATAAGAAAAAGATAGAAAAAGATAAATAAGAAAAAAGAAAAAATATTTGTCGAAATATAAAAAAAGGTTTGCAGCTACGAAACATAATGACCAAATCGTTCTAATTAACCTGTTAAAGGTCACCAGAAAATTCGGTGTTAATTATAAAAACGAAAACTAAATTATGCTATAAATTATAGAGTTTTAAAAAAAAATCCTGTATTAATTCTAGGCTTATGAAATATTCGGTATTCATTATAGATTTCTTGTATTAATGGTTTAAGTAAAATAAGTTCAAATGGGTCGAAGGAAAAATGAGGTCAATAAACAGGAAAGTGTAACACTATAAGAGAGCGAAAGAGAGTGAGTGAGAGAGGGAAGTAAAGAGAAAGAGAGAGAAAGAGGGCAGGAGAGGTAGAGAGCGAGAGAAAGAGACAGAGAGAAGAAAGGTGTACAAAGAATGACATATGCTATGTTAAAGGTACTTCCGGGATAAATCAGGTGTGAAGATTTATCATTAACCCAGACTTTAGGCCACATAGGAGAAAAATATTAACTGCTTTGAGATTGGAAACAAAAAAGAAAGAAAGAAAGGATAAGCATAAAAAAAATCCCAAACTGATATTTATGTTTTTTTTTATTACCCCTCAGGTGGAACGTTAATATCCATCAAATATTTTCTGTCGGAGTTGAAGCAAGGGACGGCGAATCATCGAACCAAGGTCAGATTCAAGGTTTCGATTTCAAATATTCATTTCCCCCGAGTTCGAATTCCAATCGGTTTCGTTACATTTACTTACGTGCAACTACCCCTTGGGAAAGGCATGAATCCACCTCTCCTCCCGTCAGCTGGCTGGGTCACAGTACTGTCAGTCTACCGAAGAAAGAAACGGCAACCTAATACGGGACATTCTTCGGCCGCCTCAGTCATGAATCGAAACAAACATGACCGCCCAAGTGTGTTTCACGTATGGCACTTAAATATGGAAGGAACTGACTGACTTCCGATAGGATATGAATCCCTTAATCACTTGTTCATCCTACCAGCAGATATATATATATATATATAAAAGTTTTTGTTACTGGCATGGCATAATTGTTGACGATAAGTAACTCAGTCAGGTTATAGATTCTTCTCTGCTTGTATTACCATCAAGTTGACTAACTTGGTTATGCTTTTAGCATTTTCGTGAAATGTTCTACCCCCAAAAATACGCTTCATAGTTGTCATTTTTCGTTTCACTAACACAACCATATCGTAGATAATAATGATGGCTTCGGTTGTCTCATTAACCCTAGAATACTAACCATGGGTACATAGTACTCAGCGCAAATTTTCCTATTTTTAATTACAATTTTCAGTACCTAATTTTCTTACCTAAATAATATGTTTTTCAATTCCTATTAATGTTAACTCGAAGTAAAAGTTTGAAGTGCCTGCATGTAAAATATTTCGAATAAAGATTTATATTTAATATTTATTTTCATATTTTCAAAATCGGGTATGATATACCCATGGTTAGTAGTGGTGTAAATTCAAATGATAGTTAGTCTTCTTGGGCTAACAGCATATTTTTCCCGTTAAGAAATTGGCTCGACTTTAATAACACTTTAAATTTATATTTAAATCAGTATTAAATTTCTTTGATAACATCTAAATAAACCTCGTCATGAGAAGAAAACCTATTTAAAAAATTAGAGCAGTCTTTTTTCTCAACAAAAGAAAGTTTTCGCAATTGTGTATACGGAGGTGGTGTAATGTGCTTGTATGTGCAAGGGGTGTAGTGGATAGCGGCTCGGAGTGAGAAATAGGAGAACTGTGATCAAATTTCAATCGGGTTCGTTAAATTCACATAGGCTCAAATAACCTTGGGAAAAGTATGAATCCAGTTTGTCCCACAACTATGGGTTAAATAGAAGGACTTGTATCTGGAAAAATTATAATTGTTTTTAAAAAGTTGTTAATACAATATTCTCTCAGAAGAAAAAAATATTTACACCATCCAAAATATATTTCATCTCTAAATAATCCCAAAAGGAAAATTCATCGTAAAAAAAAAAAAAAATCAACAAAAATCAAATCAATTGCAAATGAAAATGGAAGTGGTAGCACCTGTTAGGGTCCCAGCTAAAGGCGAATGGTCAACTGCCAGACAAAGACAAAACTATGAAAGTATAAATATACATCATTATATTAACATTACGAAGAATACCTGTTTATAGTAGAATGATCAATAATATATTTTATAGAAGAACAACTACAAATAATAATTACAGACATACAATTGCGTTCAAAATATTTCGCTGAAGCCATAAAATTGTGTTCAACATATTTAGATATCGGCATTAAATAACCCATAGAGGTGTTGATATGCCACTAATGAAAATGTCATTTTCTCAAAGGCAAAGATTTTGTGGATCAGAGCTCAACCGGTAAATATTTCATGACTTCTTTGGAAATTCCGAAAACGCATTTTTGAGTTTTTGAAAAAAGCAAAAAACAAACACTTTTGAAAAAGAAATGTAGTTTGCTCTCTTGTGCAATCAAAATATTTTTTTTCTTTAGAAATTTTTTGGTTTCCCTAACAGTTTCATCAATGATGCCCTTTCTACAAATTATCCGACATATAAACCAACAATATGATTCTTCGAGAGATAAGATACTTTTTTTTTTTTGTATTTTTAAAATTTTTAGCTTTTTTTTCTATTTCATTCCTTTTATATTTTCTGGGTTTCTTTCTTTTTTTGGAATTTTTGAGTTAAGGAATAATCATTCTTGAATTTTCTTACCATTCCGAACGGTATATTCATTTTGATTGTTATATACTGTCAACGTTTCAGGCGTTGTTTCCCCCAGCCTTCATCAGGTCCCTGCCCTCGTACTTCATAAACTTCAGTAGTGCTGAAAAGTCGCATATTCTAGTTCAGTGGAAGAATCAAACGAGCAACACAAAAGTCAATATTAACTAATATAAAATCACGATTAAGTATGCAAAGCAGAATGACGATAGTCTGCACCCATCAATTGAATAAAGGGTTCTGGTCAGGATTCCATGAATGCTATCGAGTTTTGTGACGTCAGATGCCTTCGCGTTGTCACTTTTTTGATGTCAACAATGCTCGTTTTCAAGTTCGTAATTATCGTTTTAGTCAAGAGTTTGGAATCGTAGATACTAGTACTAATACTCGTAGTAACTCATTCGACTAATACTCGCACTAGTAATACTTGTTCAAATAGTAACCGCGGAATAGTAATCGGTAGAGTGATCAGTATAGAGATATAGTATAAGTGATACAATAGTGATCACTTAGACGCCACGCTAATTCCCTGATATGTCCCGGAAAGGGATATATTTGTTCGAAGTAGCAAAGTGGTTTTGGCTACTGTAACCGAGTAGGACAATCTAGTAGGTAACCGTAATGGACTGGTCCTCATCGTAGTGGTAGGCAATAGGCGTAGGCAATAGGCGTAGACCAATGGACCAATAGCCGTCGACCAATAGCCGTAGACAAACAGCCGTAGACCAAAAGGTGTAGATAATATTTAGCCACCCACCCCACGAGGGTTGCATGTGACACAAGGCTGGGTTTAACGTGGGTTTCCCGAGCCCGTAGGCTCGGCCAAAAAATGCCCGTAGAACCCGTATAAACGGGATCGGATTAGTCAATCTCCCCGAACGAGACTTTTCCCTTCGGCAGAGCTTTTCCGGCTTCCTCTCTGCTCAGAGGCAGAGAGTTCGACCGTCTAGCCGAAAAGATTTCGGTTAGACTCTGCCAATAGGCGTAGACTAATAGTACCTCCACATCAGTCTGTATTTATCGGCAACGACACTTTATCCCTATACAGCACCGAGATCAACAACAGACAGCTGAAGAATTTCGCAAGGCACAACGACCGAAACGTTATGAATCTAACAACTAATATTGGTCTGAATAGTAGGGCATATAATAATTCTATTAAGGAGTTTTAGACAGAACAAAACAAAACTATAATTGTGGTCTATCTGGCGATAGAGATGCTTTCAATCATGGTCAACTTACTTTATAACGATGGACACCCGAAGAAGGCTGGAAGATACAACGGCCGAAATACTGGTTCAAATAATAGGGCACATAATAATTCTATGAAAGTGTTGTAGACAGGACACAGCACGACAAAATAATAATTGTCAATAATCTGAAGAGAGAGTTACCTTCAATTAAGTGAACTTTATTGTCCAGGTTATTTCTGTGTATGACGATAAACTACACCCGGCAGTAAGACCTCTGATCGGGAGATTGAAGGTTTTGAGGAGTGTGGAACCACCTCTTAATTGCTGTTGTTTCCAGTTCTACCCTCACCCGCAGTGGTAGCACCTGTTAGGGCCTAACCTATGGACAAAGAGTCAACACCCAAACACTATGAAATTATAAAAATACATTTTTATAGCAAAAATACCAGCAATATATTTTAATATAGTAAAATGACCAACAATACCTATTCATAGCAAAGTGACCAACAATATATTTTATAGCAAAATAACCCAGAATGCATTTTATCTGTAATCGAAAGTATACACTTGCGTTCAAAATATTTAGATTTCGGCATTGAATAACCCATAGAGGTGTTGATAAGCCGCTAGACAAGTCAACCAAACAACCAACATAAAAGAACTCTTTCATGGCATTAATCCTTATAAAATCCTACAATTTCTTAAAGAAATCAAACTTTATTCCGAAATATAACTTCAAGAAAACTACATCTTAAAACACACATATGACCGCCTCTAGTATTATAATTACGCCCATACAAAATTGTATATACACAAAAGTAGTATCATCTACCATGTATTCAATTGTGAAATCATAATATTTTACATCATATTTTTATTACTTCGAAGTTCCCAACAAAATGAGTTGATATGCCGTTAAACATATAAATCAAATCAATATTGTCAAAATAAGTGGATTATTTTAGCTAAGGGAATTTGATGCAGGATTGCAGTTCGGAGTGAGGAATATAAAGTCGGTGATTGCTTATGGGTTAAAATTAGTAGCAAAGAATTGTTTAGACATCATTTAAGATTAATCTTTGGAGATCATCATCATCGTCATCATCATTTATTCTTACGTTTATTTATTAAACATTTCCATTATTAAAATTTTGTTAGTCTTTCTGAGCTTGTTTTTTCTTCGATATTTATTTCGACTCGGCATCTATGCTAATGACACAAATATATATTCCTTTCTAACAGGTTTGATAAGTTAGTCGATCTCCAGAATGATCTCCAGCTGGAGTAGCAAGTGAATTGTTAATTTTAAAACCTCCAAAACAAAACGATGCTCGTTTAACCATCTTAGAGAATCTTTTTTTGCTTTCCATCAGCATCGAGAGTAACTGTTTGCTCCTTCTCAGTTTAGCGGTTTCAATGTCGAACCATCTGCTATGTCTGTTGCCCGGAAAGTTAGCTCACCGTGTCCTTCTTTATGAATCAACCGTTCGCCAGTGCGCTGAATATTGCTACATTTGGCCTGGTGCTTCCATTATGGACCTAAAAATTCTTGAAAAATTTCAAAGAATATTCGGCAATTATAACAGTCCTGATCTGGCATCTCAGCTTTATTTACCTTCCAACAACCTGTCTTTCCTATAAATACTTTTATGGCACTTGTTCTGATGAACCTTTCTCTTTGGTAAACCGACTGCATGAATTTAAGCGTAGTAGCAGATTGGCAGCAAGGTCTCACCATTTTAGCGTTTAAATAGCTAGATGTAACCATAGGTTCTATGTTAATAGTCTCTTCTTTCATACTTCTCACTTGCAGAACTCTCTTCCGGCTTCTTGATTTCCTATCAAATCATTACGATCAGGTCGATAATTCTCGGATACTCCTGACTCGTTCCTTCCAACCATCTCTGTCAGACATCGCCGTCGGCAGGTCCTCCAGATGGCATCAAGGGTTACCTACAAGTTGGTCAATGTAGGTGTGATGGGGTCTTCCAACCGATCTTTTGCGGCGGAATGGGTTTCATAGGATGGTGTCACTCACAAATTCTGACTTACTTTACCAGGAGTGACCAGCTAGCGAAAGCCCTGTCTTTCGTAGCGAAACTTAGATAGGAAGAAGGTGTCCATACAGGTGTTTCTTTATAGGGTGATTCTTATAGCTGATGTCCAATGTAACTCGCAACATCCTTGTGTATGTTCCATCAAGTGATGCTTCTTGGTATTTCGTCAGTGTCCATGTTGTTGAGCCGAAGAGCAAGACAGATTCTATCGTGACCTTAAAGAAGTCCTTCTTAAGATTAAGAAAGAGAGGAAGGACTTCCAGATCGTGCGCAATCCATCAAGGACACACCCAGGCCTTTCCTTTGTGGATTTTGACGTCTCTCTCCGAAAAGATCCACATTTCTACGTCCTATCAAATACGATCTTCAAAAAATTAAATGCAATGTCATTCGTCATTTTCTGTCTTTTTGTATCCTGATTTATTATTACGAGGGCCATTCAATAAATAAGGTGAATTTTTCGGTATAAGCACTTCTAATACAGATAGAAGCTTACTTTTTAAAATTTTTTCCCCCATGGATTTAATTTCTTTTGCAGATTAAAAAAAACTTTGAGAGTTTTGGCGATTAACAAAGATGGCCGAGCAAGAAGCCTGCTCCAGGATTGAACAACGGTCAGTTATCAAGTTTTTGGTTGCTGAAGGGTGCAAACCAGTTGAAATTCATAGGAGAATGTCAACTGTGTATGGTGACACATGTTTCAAAAAAAAAAAAAAATGTCTACAAGTGGGCTAAATTGTTTAAAGACGGACGGAGCAGTGTTGAGGATGAAGACAGGCCTGGGAGGCCTACAGAAGTGAGGTCTCCTGAGGTGATCGAATCAGTCAATGATTTCATTCAGTCTGACAAGAACTACTGTGAACTGCCGAGGCAAGTCAAGAAAGACATAAAGAACAAACGCAGGGGTCATCAGTCAGAAGGAGTCATCTTGCATCATGACAACGCAAGGCCTCACACAGCATCCCAAACGGTGCAGACCATCAACGAGCTGGGCTGGGAGCTGCTCCCTCATCCCCCCTTACAGCCCAGACCTTGCCCCTTCAGATTTTCACCTGTTTGGTCCCTTGAAAGCGTTCACGAGAGGCACGAAGTTTAAAAGTGACGATGAAGTCAAAAGTGTTGTGAGCGACTGGCTGAGACATCAGTCCAAAGATTTTTACACTGAGGAAATACGGAAGCTTGCGCACAGGTGGGAAAAGAGTGGGACAGTGCTGGGAGACTACGTTGAAAAAAAAGAAAGAAAGTAAGCTTCTATCTGTATTAGATGTCCTTATACCGAAAAAGTCACCTTATTTATTGAATGGCCCTCGTATTATTATTATTATTAGTAGTAGTAGTAGTAGTAGTAGTAGTTTCGTTGTTGTTGTTCTTCTCGCCTTAATTATATTTTTGCCTTTTTTTTTCATTCTCCGTAACACATTGCATCTTAGTGGCTTTAGCGCCTACCTTGGGGTAAAATGATTAAGAAAAGAAATCATTTTTACTACTATTATTTTAGGGTGAGTTTTTCTTCGTCTTATTTATTGTTACTTTATAAAGCATCTTGGATCGATACAATTTTTCGATTCTTCTTGCTGGTCGTGACCTCCAGAAAATGAGTGAGAAGATGAATTTGTGTTTTATGAAATGTCGCGTCATGTCTATTGCACATTTTTTAGCCGCGAATGTGTTTCTTACATTCCGTAGGGGAACATGAACATTTGTTGCCGCTATCGTGACATCACACCCACTCTCATTATCGCCTTTCACAACTCAGCCACTCGTTCACCTCTACATGACCGCCCCCCTCTTTTCACCTGACATTCGCACTTATCTACATATCTTGTAGCGGCCTCTATCGGAGTCAACATCCGCTTACCGGCTATTTAGAAGCAACCCTAGAGGTGGCAAATAAGTAAAGCATAGCGAACAATGTCACCGGTCGTATGCTTTTGTGTGTGTGTGTGTGTGTGTGTGTGAGAGAGAGAGAGAGAGAGAGAGAGAGAGAAAGAGAGGATCAAAGAGGAAGACCACAGATATACTGGTCACCCACTGATGTCCAGGCTGTAGTCGTCTTTCTTGTGACCTGACATTCTTTTTTTTTTCATCGCTAACCTTTCTTTCTGATTTCCGTTTTTCTTTCTTTTTGATTTCGTTTTTCTTTCCTTTTTGTACTTTTTCATTCATTTCTTTTCATTTTGGCTTCTATTTGCCATTTATAAATCGTTCTTTTTTGTAATTGATTTTCTTTCATTTTTGTCGTTTTTCTTCGTTTTTCTTTTTTTGTCTTCATTCGTCTTTCTTTTTGTACTTTTTCATTCATTTGTATTGATTTTTTTATGACGGGACAACATCTAAACGTTAAAAATATAATGGACTAACATCTAAACGTCAAAAAATAATTTAACAGGACAACATCTAAATGTCAAAAAATATTATAACGGGACATCATCTAAACGTCAAAAAATATTATGATTGGACAACATGTAAACGTCAAAATATAATATAAAGGGACAACATATAAACGTCAAAAAACGTTATAACGGGACAACATTTAAATGTCAAAAATATTATAAAGGCACAATATTTAAATGTCAAAAAATATTATGACGGGACAAAATTTAAACGTCAAAAAATATTATGACGGGACAACAGCTAAACGTCAAAAAAATATTATAACAGGATATCAAATAAACGTCAAAAAATATTATGACGGGATAACATCTAAACGTCTAAAATATTATAATGGGATAATATCTTTATTTTTTTACTTTTATTTTTTTCATTTATAAAGCGTTCTTTTATTCCTTCATATCCTGTATCCTTCTTTTCTTTCGTTTTGTTCTTTTGTCTATTTTTTTAATAATTTTCTGATACCATACTTCATTCATTCATTCATCCAATTATTCTTTTATTTATTTATTCTTTCATTCATTCTTTTAATCAATCATTCATTTTTCATTCATTCATTCATTTTTTATTCATTCATTTTTCATTCATTCATTTTTTCATTCATTCATTCATTTTTTCATACATTCATTCATTCTTCCAATTCATTCATTTTTTCATTCATTCTTTTAATCATTCATTCATTTTTTTCAATCATTCATTCATTTTTTCATTCATTCATCCAATTATTCTTTTATTTATTTATTCTTTCATTCATTTTTTAATCAATCATTCATTTTTCATTCATTCATTTTTTATTCATTCATTTTTTCATTCATTCACTCATTTTTCATTCATTCTTCCAATTATTCTTTTATTTACTCATTCTTTCATTCATTCATTTTTTATTCATTCATTTTTCATTCATTCATTTTTTCATTCATTCATTTTTCCAATTATTCTTTTATTTATTCATTCTTTCATTCATTCTTTTAATCAATCATTCATTTTTATTCATTCATTTTTCATTCATTCATTCATTCATCCAATTATTCTTTTATTTATTCATTCTTTTATTCTTTCTTTATTCAATCATTCATTTTTAATTCATTCATTTTTTCATTCATTCATTTTTCATTTATTCATTCATTCATTCTTCCAATTATTTTATTTATTCATTCTTTCATTATTTTTTCATTCATTCATTTTTCTTTTATTCATTAATTTTTCATTCATTCATTCATTCATTCATTCATTTTTCCAATTATTCTTTTATTTATTTATTCTTTCATTCATTCTTTTAATCAATCATTCATTTTTCATTCATTCATTTTTTCATTCATTTATTTTTTCATTCATTCATTCATTCATTAATTCTTTCAATTCTTCTCTTATTTATTCATTCTTTCATTCATTCTTTTAATCAGTCATTCATTTTTCATTCATTCATTTTTTCATTCATTCATTTTTTCATTCATTCATGTTTTCATTCATTCATTCATTCTTTCATTCGTTGTTCACTTTCTTTTTTATTATGTTTTGCTTATTTCATTACTTCTTCCTAATTTTAATTTTTCTTCACTCAGTCATTATATTCTGCTCGATGTTTTCATTCATTTTTCTCATTCATGCAAGATTTTCTTCTTTTCTTTACTTTTTTGTTCTTTCATCGTTCAACTTTAATATTGTTTATTTTAATTCATTTCTCCCACTCATTCTCTTTATCTCACATTCTTTTTTTTTTTTACTTTCATTCAATTTCTCTTCATTCTTTTCTTTCCCTTTCTCATGTCTCTTCTTTTTTTCCTTCACATCTTTTGTCTCACATTTCTTTATTATTTCATTAATTGTTCCGTCATTCCTTCTCTCTGGTATTTCTTTCCTTCATTGACTTTAAATTCTTGTTTTCCCTTAGTCTAAGTCTTTGTCAATAGAATGATTTTCCACTTAGAACTGAGTCCCTATTGAATGATATCTATATAAGCCCCTTCCATGGTTTTTGCTATCATCTCTAATCTGGCTCTCCACAAAGCATGTGGACCGGATGGTATCCTTGTAATAGTGTGCTCCCAAACTATCTCCCATTATCTCTAAAATGTATAATAAATGCCTTGCTGCCTCTTGCTTTTCTGTTTGTTGGAAATACTCATCTGTTGTTTCAATGTTTAAAATTCATGTGAACCGCCTGACCTTTCTCACTATTGACCTTTTATCCTTCTACCTCTTTTTGGTAAACTACTAGAGGCCCTAATCAACACTGAATTAGTTAAGAATCTCAAACTGCAGTGCCTTCTTTCATACAATTTGAAGTGTTAAGTTCTGCGGATAAGCAAAATGTTTCATTCATAAATTCTCTTTAAACTCTTGACTCATCTGGAATATCCTTGCCTGATTTTCCACTTAGAACTGAGTCCCTATTGAGTGATATCTATATAAGCCCCTTCCATGGTTTTTGCTATCATCTCTAATCTGGATCCTCACAAAGCATGTTGACCTGATGATATCCTTGCAATTGTCCTTAAGAAATGTTTTCCTGAACTGGCTTCTGTCCTCTCTAAACGCTATAATAAACGTCTCGTTGCCTCTTGTTTTCCTGCTTGCTGAAAATCCTCTTCTGCAGTTTCAGTCTTTAAGAAACTGGGTGAACCATCTTCCAACTATCGACCTTCTACCCCTTCTTGAGTAAACTACTAAATCCTTTAATCAACTCTAGATTGGTTAAGCGTCTCACATCGAAGGACCTTCTTTCAGACAAGCAATATTGCTTTCGCTTCTATAGGTCAACTGCTGATGTATTAAGGATTATGGCTGAAAGAGTCTATTAAGTTTGAGATAAGAATGGCGAAGCTCGGGATGTTGCTTTGGAATCTTAAAACCGTTCGACAGAGTTTGGTATACTGGTCTTCACAAGTTGAATGTTTATGGTGTTTCTGGATGAATTTCTGAATTGATTTAATCTTTCTTATCAACTGGAAATGAAAGTCATCCTGAACGGCCACTCTTCTAGATCTTTTTCTTCTAATGCAGGTGTCCCCTAGGGCTCTATCCCTGGACCTAATTTGTTCATAATTTCCATCAATGACCTTCCTAGTGGCTTCAGCTCTCAACTCGATATCTATGATGATAACACAACTGGTTATTCATGTTTTAATGGTAAATCTCATCGGTTTGATGAGGTCAAATTGCTAGATGATCTATAAAATGACCTACAGTTGCTGCTAACTGGGGCAAGGAATGGCTTGTTAATTTTAAAGCTTTTTAAAACGTTTTATTAATAATATAAGAGACCTTTTTCTGTCTTTCAGCAGCAAGGCTGATGCTAACCTTCAGTAGAGTTACTCATTACCCCTTCAAGCGCTAACATTCTCTACTGACATGGAGTGGAAAACTTATATTGAATCCATTGCTTGGTCTGCTGCAAGAAAGTTGGTTCACTGTGTCGTGCTAAGCAATTTTTCTCTCCAGAATCTATCTTACATATTTATGTCTACCTATGACCATGCTTAGAATATTGCTGCCACATATGGTCTGGTGCTCCTGCTATATATTTAGAGATCCTTGGTAATATCCAAAGAAGAATCTGAAATGTTATCGGTCCTGTCCTGGCATCTCGGCTTCAGACAATTTCTGACTTAACTAATGTAGCTTAACTCTTCCTTTTCTCTAAATAATTTCAGGGTAGTTGTTCTGATGAACTTTCCGCTATAGTACCTAGACTTTATGAATTTAAGCGCATTACTAGATTGGCGGCAAGGTCTCATACACTTGGATTGGCGATGTGCAACCGTAAGTTCTATGCTAACAGTTCCTTTTCTCGTACTTCTCACTTGTGAAACTCTCTTTCGGCTTCATGCTTTCCAGCCAATTTTGATCTTCAAAATGTTAAATGTGATGGCAATCGTTTTCTACTGTATTCTTGATTCCTCTTCTTTTATTGTTCCCGCTCCTTAATAATGTTTTTCTTTTTTTTTTCTTATTCTTTCACACTCAGTAACCCCTTGTGTCTTAGTGGCTTTATTACCTTGCTTGCGGTGAAATGAATAAAATAACCTCCTTTCTCCTCGTTATTTTCCTTATTCCATTCCCCTCCTTCCTGTTCCACATTATTCCTTTTCTTTCTTATTTTTTTTTAATCTTATTCTCTATTCTTTATTTTATTCCTTCTTCATTATTTTCTCCGTTATACACTTCTTCGTTATACCATCCTATTTCTCTTTTTTCTCTTTCTACCTCGCTTCTTTTCTCTATCCTGCACCAGTCCTGCCACGCCCATTTTAACGAACCATCCTCATTCCCTTCGTATTCCATGGGGGAGATGTAAGTTCTACTCGAGAAGGTTCTTCCCACGAATCACTGCTTTGTGGGACCTACTCCCAAGAGGATGCTTCTCCAATCATTACCATCTTAACCTGTTCAAAATTAGTTAACCGTTATCTTCCCCACATAACCGTATAAATCGAGCCTCTTGATCTGTAACCCTCTACCTGCTTTGTGGAACCAACTCCCAAAATCTTCCCCACATCTCTATCTATAAAAGGCAGGATGTGTGTGTGTGTGTGTGTGTGTGTGTGTGTGTGTGTGTGTGTGTGTGTGTGTGTGCAATTTTCGACGGATTTGCACCAAAATTTACATGCACATGCTCCAAGTTAGCGGGAAAGCCAAAACCGACTTTCCATTTCGCAAATCCCATCAATAGTGGAAATCTACGGCAGTTTTCATGTAGTTTGCGGCCATTTTCTACTGGCCAGAGTGAGAGACAATAGCTGGCTGCCACGAATAGGCAAGAAGATTCTATTAGCCAGCGTGAGAGCCAACAGCTGATTGACACGAATGTTAACTAGCATGCTACCATCCAAAAATATCGATAGCTGCATTCGTCACAAATGGGAAAAACTTAAATCTGCATGGCACTTTACTCCACGTTGATTCTGATTCCGCAGAACTGGGTTGGGTGTGAAAAAGTATTTGCTGTTAACATTCTTTTTTCATTCGGTTTTTCCAGTTACGAGCCCTTTTTTAAAGCTGATCGTTTTGTGTTCATTTTGTTTAGTTCTTTTTTCGTAACAGATTTAATGTTTAGTATAGGGCTTCGAAAAAATTCCCAGTGTGAGATAGGCAAGAAGTAAGGCATGTAGCAACATCAGCACGGCAAAGGGAACTCCTTTAAAGGCAAGGAAGGGCAAACATATTTTAAGTCAAGTGATAGCGATTGCTGTATGAGTCGTAAGATTTTTGAATCAAGCACGGGCAACGCCGGGCCATGCTGCTAGTATACCCATAAACTGTGGCTCTTACTCTGTAACCGTCTACCTCGAGTGGCTTTTGAGCCTTGTATAGAATTAACATTATTGTAAAAAACTAATTCATTCTCTTTATTCTATTTCTTCTTCATAGCATTTCTACATAATTTCCTTTCTCTATTATGTCTTTCTCATTCATATGCTTTGTCCGTTGTCTTTTCTTTATTGTTTTCTTTCTTTGTCATTTATTTTTTCTTTCACACCTTTTCTTTTTTATTTCGTTGTCCCTTAATTCCACTTCTTTTCTTTCTTTTCTTTTTCATAGCTTTTCTAATATTTCATTTTCTTCTTTATTCTGATTATCTTTCACACTCATCATTTTTTTCTCTTTCCTTGCCTTTCGCTCTTTTTTCTCGTCTCCTTCATAGATTCGTTTCTAGTTTTCTTTAGACTTTTTCTTTTTTTATTCCTTGTCTTATACATACTTTTTCGATTTCTATTTTTTTCTTTTTCATTTAGTTTCTCCTTCGACCCTTTTTATTCTTTATTCTCTTTTCTCTATCTCGCTCATTCCTTTTCTCATTCATACGCTTTCTCCTCATTCCGTTTTTTCTATCTTCTTAGCATTCTTTTCCCGCCTTATGGAATTATTATTTATTTTCATATTCATTTACATTCATTCTCCAAATTATTTTTCCTTCTTTATTTTTTTCCTACTTTTCCATCTTTATTCTCTTTCTTAAAAAATCATTTTCTCCTTCTCCATTTTCCTCCTTTTTCGCTTTTGTCATTTCATTTCGTCTTCTTTCCTCTCTTCTTTTTTCTTTTCTCTCTTATTACTATTCTCATTCATTCTTTTTCTTCGCCCTTTCTTTTTCTGTCTTCTTTTTCTCCTTTATACGCATTTTTCGTTTCTCTTCTTTGTTCTCATTCATTTTCTCCTTCATTCATTTTCTCCATTCCTTTTTCATTCAATTCTCTATCTTCTTCATTCACTTTCTCCTTCATCCCCTATCTCCTTCGTTCATTTTCTCCTTCAATCCATTTCTCCTTCATTTCCTTTCTCCTTCATTCCTTTTCTCTTTCATTGCTTTCGCCTTCATTCTTTTTCTTCGCCATTCTTTTTCTGTCTTCTTTATCTCTTTTATCCGCATTTTTCTTTTCTGTTTTTTATTCTCATTCATTCCCTATTCTTTCATTTTGTCCTTCATTCCTTTCTCCTTCATTCATTTTCTCCTTCATTCCTTTTTTCATTCAAATTCCTTTTCTCCTTCATTCCTTATCTCTTTCATTCTCTTCCTCCTTCATTCCCTTTTTCTTCGCCATTCCTTTTCTGTCTTCTTTTTCTCCTTTATACGCATTTTTCTTTTTTCTTCTTTATTCTCCTTCATTCCTTTTCTCTTTCACACGTCTTCTTTTCATTCCTATTTTATTTAATCTCTTTCTTTCCCATTCCTTTTCGCCTTCCTACGCTTTTTATTCTTATTCCTTTTATATTTTTAAGTCCATTTCTCCTTTTCGTTCATTTGATAAATTTATTTATTCCGCGTCTCCTTTTCACTATCGATAAATACCAATTGGTCACGGTCTAGCGATGATGTTTAATCGATTGTATTGGGAATCAATGTTTGATGCTCGAGGATAGGGCATCTTTTGATGTGACGGTTCAGACCACCATCTCTGCCGGTGATATCGATTACACGATCACAGGTGGCTGCATTTTCTCTAAGAGAAGCCCAACAAGTACCCAAGAAATATCGGTAGAGATATTAATTCCTGTGTGGCCGGGACGCCACATCCGGGGTGTGACAAAGAGTTCACCACTTGTTGCCTACCCTAAACCTCACCTTTTCCTCTTCTAATATTCAATCGGTCTATCTTTAAGATTAAATGAACATTTAAAAAAATTCTATTTTTAATATAATTGTGAGGTAGCAATAAAAATTGTTATTGCGATTTGTTCATCAGTATTACGAGGTTGTATGAAAGTGTAAGGGTGTGAAGGTGGTGTATCGGTTAGATCGGAAAGAGAAGTCGGTGGATTGAGTTCGAATCCCGGACAAGTTCATTACACGTTAATTTTTCGCACAAATAATTTTTTTTTTAATCATTTTCCCCAAACAAGATAATAAAGCCACTAAGACGCAAGGGATTACTGAGTGTGAAAGATAAAAAACGTTATTGAAGAGATAAAAGAACAAGATTAACAAGGACAAATATTGATTAACGATGTTACATTTAAATTTTGGAAGACCGGAGATGAGAGAAAAAAGTAACCAGAAGAGATTTCCAGAAACAAAGTGCGACAGAATTTGGAAAAAGGTATTAATCAGCCGCTGCTCCCCACTCTACCTATGGTTTAAATTGCAGGGCACACTGGGCTCTCTAGCCTTGGTTGGCTATCAGCCTAGAAAAAGGATACATCTGAATTCGAAACCCTTGGCATGACGATAAACTACATCCGGCACCAATACCTCTGAGCGAGAGATTTGGAGATTTTGAGGAACGTGGAACCACCTCAACTGCTGTTGTTCCAAGGCTCACCCTAACCCGGGATGATATAGGAAAATAGTGACTCCCCAAACACTATGATCTAACTCAAGGACACATGGCACAGTGGATAAAGGCGTTAGTTAGATCCATTGACAGGACCCAAAGAGTGTAAGTTCAATACCTGGTTAAGTCGGTGGAGAACTGAGGTGAATTAACAGGAGATGACTAATAACTGACATTCATTAAACATGGCACGTAGAGCTAGAACAGTCTACTCCAGCGAACGAAATAAAGAGTTCAGTTCAACATTCCAACCACCTGAAGAAGGCTCGAGCCTACAACGGCCGAAACGTTTTGATAAATATGACAACAAAGATGAGGACAATAGTCCGAATAATGTAAATAGTGCTACAAATCAATACACAATTTTAAAAGATTTAAAACTTCATAGATAATTATAATTAAAATTTTTAAAAACGAAAACAATTCTTGTAAAAATTATTCATCCGGTTTTTTTTTTCTTTTCACACCAGTTTCCATAATAATTGTATAATACATTTTAGATTCATTATTGGTGGTCTTCAGTGATGTACTCTGCTCATCGCCGATTTCGGATTTTGCATCACGTCGGCACAAGAGCAGCAACCCCGATCTGACTTCGGACGAGTCATACAGCCTCCTTGAAAGCGTCGTGTTACGCACCTCGACATTGCAAAACATATCGACATGGCGAGGAGTCCTACCGTTCTTATTGAGATTACGTCATTCAACGTCAACCAATGAAAAAAGGCTTTACACGCTCCCCCTCATATATCTTATTTAGAAAGGCAATTGCAAGTTTTTCTAATTAAATAAAGTATTTCTAAAAAAGAAACATTTAAAATTAATTTAATTCATTTGGGAATAATCCTGGAAGTTTCATTAAAATCCAATTATTTGAATTTACAAGTCTGTGTCTTTTACACCACACAAAGACGTACAAATTTCTTATAGTAATTTATGGTCACCCGCTGAAGCAAGAAAAACAAAGTTTTTAACCAAAATTTTTGAAGGATCTTAAAAGAATTAAAAAATATAATTTAATAATAAAAATATCCTTTGATCATTTCTCTTTATCGCGTAATGTTCTTGAGGACAAAAATTTGATATTATTAAGTTTAGGTCATATGTTAATCACGTATGCTATTTTTTTAGTAAATATTTGAAGGTATCTATACAGGTAAGAACGGAAATGGATAGTACACTATTTACATTATTCGGGCTATTGTCGCCATTACAACGTTTCAGCCGTTGTACGGTCCGGCCTTCTTCAGGTGGTTGCAATGTCGAACTGAACCCTTTATTTCGCTCACTGGGTTAGACTGTTCTAGTTCCAAGTGACATGTTTAATGGATGTCAGTTATCTCCTGTTAATTCCCCTTTCCAAGTTCCCCACCACCTTAACCAGTTATTGAACTCACACTCTTTGGGTCCTGACACTGAATCTAACTAACGCCTTTATCCACTGTGCCATGTGTCCTTGAGGAAATGGATAGGTATGAAAAGAAATGCATAGGAATAAGGTACAAAAAATAGGCCTTGCGTTCAAAACAGCATCAATGCTCAAAATAATCGCTATAAATATCTCTAAAGCACGATATTGAAAAAGAACGAAATGGAGAAAGAATTGATATATTCTCCTAATTCATATAGACGTTAGAAAAGGCCAAAAACGCTCCTGGATGAACTAGAGACAGCAGGAAGGGCGCTGACCTGAACAGATACAAGTCGGTATTTCCTGAGGATTGATGATATCTAAGCCTTTTTAGAAATAAAGAAAAGATTACTGAACTGTTATATAATATCAGTCATCCTGTATAGGAGCGAATACTAGACAATCGCCACACAGTGAAAGAGACTTGAAACAACAGAACGTGATTCTACAGAAAGATGAATGAAATTCCTTGCAGTGGACATTTTAGTAACAATTACATTTTCGGGAAAATGAAAACAAAAACACACACTGAGAATCTATCTATCTCAGTCTATTCATTGATTATCTATCTATCTATCTATCTATCTCGGGCCAGACAGTTGTTCTCCTACAAAGATAGACGCATGTTCTTACCCAAACAAATATCATCATTACTTGATTGGCAGGTAGATTTCATCATTTTATAGTTAGATATAACTGTAAGTTCTATGCTAACAGTTTCTTCTTACGCACTTCACGCCTATGGAACTCTCTTCCGACCTCGTGTTTTGCAGTTAATTAAATTTAAATAAATTTAAATGCAGTGTCAATCGTTATCTTCTGTCTGATTAATTCCTTTTCTTTTGTTGTTCTCTCTCCTTAATAATGTTTTCCTTTTTTTGATATTCCTTCACACTCAGTAAACCCTTTCGTTTTAGTGGCTTTATTGCCTTGCTTGGTATGAAATGATGAAAAACTGCTCATTGGACAAGGAAGACTGTGTTTTGTCCTTATATTAATCTTCAGCAAATGAGTATTTTGTTTTAAATGATTAAGAACATCATCAAAATATGAACGCGCTGCAAACAATTCATGTGTGGCACCATTTACGAGGCAGAAAAGGAAAAGAAAGAAAAGAAGGCAGAAAGAAAGGCGAGACGAATCGTGGGTGTTAAGCAGACACACACACGGCTAAGAGACATTGAATATATTGATAAGTAACAAATGGCGAAAGGGTGTCATTACAATGACAGGGAAATTCTGAGTAAAAAGAAAGGGAAAGAAAGAAAGAATCAGATGTGTTTTGATAACGGCTGTGTTATCTAGGAGTACGTAAACAAACTGCTGGTCGACTGGCCAAAGAAAAATTCAAGTGAAAATGTTATTTCGATAAGTGACGAAAAACAGGGACTTTGGGATAGATATGGAAAAATTAATCGCGACACACACGAAGTAACCACACTGACCGATTTTCTTGCCGCAGAACATCTTTATGCCTGCGATAATAAAATTATGTTATCAAGAAATGTTCGCCAAAGAAAAGTCCAATTGAAAACGTTAATTTTGATAATTGACAAAACACAGGTGTAACTACAGGGCTTTGGGTAGATATGGAAAAATTAATCGCGACACACACGAAGTAACTACACTGACCGATTTTCTTGCCGCAGATCATCTTTGGCCTACGATAATAAAATTATGTTATCACAAATATGTACCGAAAGAAAATGAATGGGGACCCAGAAGTGTTTTTTCTTCTTTCTTCGAAGCGACAGACTGACTGAAACTTTGGAGATGTTAAGAAGACCACCCATTCTGATAATTGGCGATAAAAATACCTGACGAAAACCACGTGTAGAACAAGAGTTATATTGTCACGTTTGCGGCTAGGGAAATGATAACGGCGATTAAGAGGAAGAAAAGGGAAAGAGAAGAGATAATTTTTTTTAGTTAAGCAAGATATTTTTTTTCTTCCAGAAACAAAGCCGCGGATTCGTCCACGCCGACTAAGACATCATTGGTCAAGTGGTGATCACGTGACGCACGAAGGAGGCTGTCGACGCCTCATCCAGCGTATAGGTATGAGAAGCTGCTACGAAGAAGTGGGGAGGGCAGTTCACGCCCTCTGAAGTATGGTGAGAAGGTGGGGGAGAAAAGGTTCCCAAAAATGGAAAAGAGTGGAAATCCTAACCAGAAATAAAAAGAGGTGGATATGTATTTAGAATTATCGAGGAACCCCCGACACCGACAGACCCACCCCGGTTTTGGTCGGCGTCCATAAAAGCGAAGCCCCTACGAGCAGAAATCAGTTCGGGCTCCGAGTTTCCAGAGTTGAGTTCCAGCAGTTCCAGTGAGTTCAGCTGACCAAGATTCACGCAAATTCCGGACTCCTCTTCAACCCAAGAACAATTATTTTGAAGAGCGACTTAGATCCAGACCACCGAAATAAGTTTTTTCGACTTTCGTCCAAAGACACACCGAAACACCAATTTCTTAGAGAGCAAACAATTTGAAGCGTTAAAACTTGCCTAACGGAAAACGACGTGTCACAATCCACAGAACGGGTCGGGAGATAGATGCAGTCCTATGTATCGAACAACTAGACATAAAGTTTGTTACCTTTTTTTCTTTGATACTTTGAACTTTTGAGTTTTCATTTTATTTTCTTTTTATGCATATTTGTGTGGTATCACCCCCGTTGAACTGAGTTTGCATTACGGCCCCGACTACTGATTGATCTCGTCTGCCTAAGATCAATTCACAACGTGGCTAGGCAGACTGGAGATCAATGCAGTTACCTTGGTAACCAGGCGTTGGAAGCGAATTGGGAACGACGAGGCTGATATCAAATCTAACCAGATTCCCACCCGAATCACCAAAAGGTTAGAACGTCACATTTGGGTGCCGCGACCGATACCAAGCCAGTTGGTCGTCACAGGACGAGACCACACGACTGACGCGACAGGCGGACGTCACGTTTGGAGCAGTGACACCCGAACGGAGCAGCGAGGAGCGAACAGCTGGCGCCGCGGCGAGGACGTCTGGTGGTGCTGTTTGGGGACGTCACAACTGGTGCCGTGGTAGATCAGGATAGAACGTCACAGTTGGCGCTGCGACCAGGGGACGACGTCACACATGTTTATTTTATGACAAAACTTATAACGCTATATATTTAATACTAAAAATAGTGTAAGTAGAATCCGCAGGAGATATATGCTGTTATCATATAATAATCTACCACGAAAATAAATAAATAAATCTCTTTATAGGAAGAATATAAGTAATTTCTGAAGTCTTCAAAAAAAGAGAAATAATAATGGCGGAATGTATGCAAAATAAGGTGTTTAGAAAATGGATAATCATTATTGAGAAAAACCCGAAGATATCAGTGGTGAGTGATTTGTAAAAAAAATTTAAAAAATACATGTTAAATTTATTTTCATTCTTTTTCCGCGTTTTGACAGCTGATCAGCCATTTCCAAAATGGCAGCCAGGTTCTAACCAACGCCAGCAGTTTGATTTACTTCTCATTTAAGTTTATGTGTCTGTGGTCGGCCAGAAGTAGGATGGGGGTGGGATAATGAAAGAAGAATATTAATTAAGTGACCTTAAATCATTAATTAATAATAAAAAAAGAAGGTAAAAAAATAAGAATCTTAAAAAAATGCGGGAAATGATTGCGGAAATCTGAATGAAGGAAAGTGAGCTAAAAGAAAAGAAAGGAAAGTAAAAATGAAAAAAGAGGAAAAAGGGGTAAAGAGAAAAAAGGGAAGAGAATAAAAAAGAGGAAAAGAGGAAAAAAGGGTAAAGAGTAAAAAAGGGGGGAGGAAATAGGTGGAAAGAAGAAAAACGAGGAAAAAGTAAAAAGTGGGAAAAGAAGAAAAAGTGGAAAAGAAGAAAAATGAGAAAGAGGAAAAGAGGAAGATGGAATTAAAAAAAGAAAAAGAAAAAAACGAGGAAAAAGAGAAAAGAAACATTAAATTGTAGAACGTGATGAAAGAAGTTTAGATATACGCATTCACACATGCATATAAAAACATATAAACATGGACACACTCAGAGGACGACCCACTTCTCAAAATCAGTATTTTAATGACCAGACATCAGAATACTGATTTTGGGAAGGCAGTCGAGCTGAAAACTATCAGAAGGTCACCGTGATTATATATTTGATGGGAACGATGATTCCATTGACATAGGTAGGATACTTTTTGATAATATTAAATGACAAAATCATTTACAGAAAAAAAACTCACACACAGATATATATATATATATATATATATATATATATATATATATATATATATATATATCAAATATGTGGTGCAGTTCAATTTATATTACAATGAATCATTCATACAAAAAGTAGATTAGTAAAGTTAAATATAACCTAAAAATCACTCGATGAATGTTATGATCCTTGTTTTTAAAAATTATAAACTGTATAAGGTATTCATTTAATACGCAAGTACTTTCAACTGTACATTCAGTCATCTTTAGACATGGAAATTATTTTGTTTTTGATCAAATTTAGGTAGCATCCGAGACGAAAAAAATTAAATGCGGAATATGTTTTTTTTAATTGTTTTATTGTTAACGGATACAAACTTTTGGGCGATGCAGTCGCAACGCTACGGTTGAATTTTTTGAAAATTTAAGAGAGTGCGTTTTTTTTTATTAATATGGCAATTTTGAGAATTTTTTTTTGCGAATTTAATTTTTTTCGTTAAAGAAAGATTTTATACAGCTTATAATTTAAAAAAAACAAAGATCATAACATTCCTGAGTGATTTGTAGGTTAATGCACCTTTATATATATATATATATATATATATATATATATATATATAGGTTTGTGAAGATTCTTGTGTGTCTAAGTGGGCATAGGATGGTAGCGTGTATGTGTAATAGAGTATATGTGTCTGTCTAGTAGGATTTCTAACTTCAACTTTGTGCGGTCAACCCGTGCACCTGGGTGTCACGAGGTTCTAATTTATGGCTGGCTTATTTAAGAATGTATTTTTGTATTAGATACATTTAAATTAGATTCTATAAGAATGCATTCAAAGAAAGATGGCAATGTAATGTAATGTTTTATGCGTGTGTTCATAGTTGGTAATATTGTTATCATTAAGTTTTCTATGTATTTTCTCCTTAAAGAACTATGTTCTTTATTTTTTTAAAAATTAGGATGGCATTAGTGAAATCAAAGTTATGTCCAGCATTGTTTCCATGCAAAACGAGAGCTTTAGATCCTTTGTCCAAACGCAAATCTCTTTTGTGTTCGTAGATGCGGGATTTTAGATTACGTGATGTCTCCTCCACGGAAACATTTTTACATGCACAAGACTCAGGATAACCTCCAAAAGAACACCCGCGGCATAATCACATTGGTTATCTTGCACTTGCTTGTCTCCGGGTTATAATGGTGTATTGGTGAGAGACGTTGCGGTGTTGTGCAAGCTGTATTCGACTTTAATGAAGAGGCTCGGGCGTTGCTCACACACACACACACACACACACACACACACACACACACACACACACAGAAATAGTGGTGGTGGAGAGGTGTCGACGCATACAGGTTTGACGGTCTGGCAATACGTAGCTCCTGACCTACACACTTAACGGTCTCTG